GGCACCAAGGGGGACGGACGTGGTGACAGCGTGTCCCTGTCATGACATTGGGGTCGCTGACCGTGACTCAAGTCCACAAGGCCAGTTCTGGGGGTGTCATTTCACAGGTGTTTATGGAACATGGATTACGTGCCTGCCCCTTCCGGGGCTCGGGGTCGCAGCATGAAGAGCACAGGTTAGGCCCACGCCCGGCGGGGAGCCCCCACTCCAGCAGGAGAAAACCGGGGAGGAGCCAGTTAACGTGGGGCTGAGCCGGGTGCAGAGGGAAAACCAGGTGGAAGAGGCGGCCAGTGGGCTGAGGCACTTTACAGGGGTGGGGACGGCTGAGCCTGGACGGGCAGTCCAGGCAGAGGGAGAGCAGGGCAAACCCTGGGCGGTGGCACGGGCTTGCAGCGTTCCAGAACCTGAGAGGAGGCCCGTGTGGCCGAGCTGGATGCTGAGGGGGAGGGGAGGGGCGCAGGGGTGCGGTCGCCTGCAGGCAGGTCAGGGGTTGGGATCCTGCTCGGGGGAGAGTGTGAAATTGCCCAAATGGCCACATGCAGAGATTTCACATGGTTCAGTGTGACCCCTGAGCAGCGTCACCGTCACTGGGGTTGGGTTCCTGAGCCGCACAGACCCCCTCATTCCGCAGCCTCTCCCTCCAGGGGGGCCGCTTGTGCGCTGCAGCTGGGAATGTCTTCAAGCCAGCTGCCTCAGGGACCTCATTCCTGCCCAAACCGTGGGCTCCGGGGTCGGCTGCCCGTCCCTCCCTGCGTGTCTGGCTCCCTGCCCAGCCCCCCAGCCTAGCCAGGCCCCCGGCCCCCCTGACTCCCCAGCCATAGCCAGGCCCCCAGGCCCCTCCCCTGTTCCCACGAGGCATCTCGGCACCCCCCCGTGCCCCCTGCCCCCCAGGTCTACCCAGGCCCCCCCCCAGTCCCTGCGTCTCCAGCCTGTCCCCCAGGGCTCGCTGGAGAACCGAGACGTGCTCCTCACACCTGCAAAAGCAGTTAAACTGACAATTCCGTGCAGACTCAGGTTCAAATCCTTATTAGGCTGTTAAGTGAGAGGAGATTTCATGTGCTTGTGGCGGACCTGGTCCTGCCACCCAGCGCCTGTTTGCAGCTTCCTTCCTCAGTGCCTTCCCTTCACTAAAGGAGCCTGCAGCGTGGGGGGGGGGGGGGCAGAAGGAGGGGAGGGGGGACGGGAAGTGCACCGGGCAGGGAGCGACTGAGTGGTCTCATCAGAGCTCCTGAGTTTTAAATGAGATGTTTGTGAACCGTATTCACCGGGTGATCAGGTCCCTGTGCCGGGAGGGGGGCCGAGGGGCTCTCAGCCGCCCTGGACTCTGCTCCAGGAGACCTCCTGGCGGCTCCCTGAGTGAAGGCTGCTGAGCAGAGTCAGTTTGCTGCTTCACCTCCCTGCCCGGGTGCTGCGGCTCCTCCCCCGGATTCAGCCCCGATCCTGCCTTGACCTCTGCGTCATGAGAGCCGTGTTCCTGGCAGTGTAGGAGGGAGACAGAATTCAGCTCTGACTCTGTTAAAATCTGCATAGAAACACTCCCTTCGTGAGCTCACGCAGTGTGGGCCGATCAGAGAGTAGGGATGTCACACACTGGCATTGCACGGACATCCTCAGTGTATTGCTACTTGTTGTTCAGGAACAGTTTAGTGTTGGGGCGCCTGGATGGCTCGGTTGAGTGTCCGACTTTGGCTCAGGTTATGATCTCGAGGTTCGTGAGTTCGAGCCCGATGTCAGGCTCTCTGCTGTCAGCGCAGAGCCTGGAGCCTTCTTCAGATCCTCTGTACCCCCATCTCTCTGCCCTTTGCATGCTTGCTCTCTCTCAAAAATAAACAAATAAAAAAATGGTTTAGCGTTATCTGGAACATTGGTTGGAGGGTTTTGGATGGTGTGGGAATATGTTATCTTTTCTTCCCATTGCACATAATGGGATACGAACTTCTGATGTCTGAAAATGTATTCTCCGAAGCGTTCCCAGGAATTGATAATGTACGGATAACGGGAGGTGCCTGCCTTTTGCTTGCTCTAAACTGCTGTGGCCGTCATTCTCCCGTGAGGGGCCTGGTCACGCAGGGAGGGAACAGATGCCACCCAGCAGCAGACACAGATCCCCGCCTTCTCCTGTCGTTAACGGGGGAGAGTGTCCCAAGGAACGCTGCTGCTTGAGTGGTTGGTGGAAATCCTCTCGTGGGGATCTCCCTGCTGCCGCCAGGCAGCAGCCCCTCTGTGGGAACGGGAGGGCCCTGCGCAGCCCCTCTGTGGCCGGAGGCTGGTGGTGACCGAGGCCCTCATGGAAGCAGAAGGTGCTGAGCAGAGCCTGTAATCGCGCCACGGACGATTGATCTCACACCGGTCTTGCCAGCCTTTCCTGCAGCAAACGGGGTGGCCGGGGCCCCGCCTGTCCATCGCAGCACGGGCCACACCTGGCATCTGAACCCTGCCCCCCCATCCTGCCAGAATATGCTTGTGGCACGAAAGCTCATTTTGTGGCCGCTCCACCCTGAGATGTGGCTTCTGTGCCGGCAGGATTCGTGCAGAGGCTGCTCGTTTCCCGCTCCTCCGTCTTCCTCCAGCCTGCGTCCCCACCGTCGGCCAGTGAGGGCCGCTTGGTGATACTGTTAATTAAAACCATGGCCCTCAGGGGCGGGAACGAAGTGAAACACTCCCAAGTCGCTTCCCTAATAGAAATCTTACTTTGGAGGTGCTCACGGGGGTCGCTGACCAGGAAAACCTGTGCGCCTTGCACGAACTCAAATGGATGGACTTAATTTACTCAGCCAGGTGCCTGGAGGGACAGGGCCTGCCACTGGCCATGGGCGGGGCTGGCCACCCTCACCTGTGGCCCCGGATTCAGTCCTGGGGCAGGGGGATGGGAGCACAGGACCAGATCTTCTCGGAAGACTCTAGAATTGGAGCAAGCTGGAACTTGCTGACCTAGGCGTCTGTGAGCCCAGCCTGTCCGGCCATCTCTGTGTCCAGCTCTCCAGAGTGTGACGGCCACTGTCCCCTGGAAATTCGCTTCAATGTGGCCGCAGTGAGTGGGGAGTGGCCATATCTGGAATCCATCAGTCACACAGAGAATTCCCCTTCTCATGTTTTCTGGCCCAAGCAGCTGCTCTGAGTGCTGACAGCTCTTTGGAGCTGGCTGCATCTCAGGCCAGACTGAGCTGGCTCCTTTGAGAAAAGCTGGAGTGAAAAGGTCTGGGGGGGGAGGGCGGAAGGGTTGTGCTCTGAATCTGGGGCCGCAGCAGGCATCTTGGGGTGCAGCCCAGGCCTTCGGCCGAGGAGGGAGCTGGACGCTTGCTTCCGGGGAGCGAATTCATTTCTGAAATGAGGGCTGGAGGAGTCCCGCCTTCAATGCCAGCAATTTAATTCCGGATCACAGCCCTCAGTCCACAGAAAACCAAATTTTATCCTCGCTTCTCCATTTGCCCGTTTAGAGCCCAGAGCGTTGGGGCAGGGATGGGGTCAGGGCCTGGAGTTGCTATGGAAACACAGCCTGGGCTGTTCCCTGTGTGGACGCGGCCAGGGCTCCACTCCTTCGCCTCCAAGCCCTGGTCGCCCGCAGACCTGTAGCAGCGAGGGGGCCGTGGGGCTGGCCGGCCCTGCGCGAACCCCAGTGAGCGCCCAGCATGCTGGCTTTCCCCGAAACTTACACACCTCCTACAGGCTCCTTCCAGAAGGTTCTCCAAATCCTCACCCCTTTCAGCTCCTTCTGTCTCCATAGCAACCGGCATCCCATGACAAGTGGCCAGACCCATTACTGTCTTTGTTCACCTCCTGGCATCTCGCCCGCTGCTAAGGAGGTGTGGGTCTCAGGCGCCGGGGAGTCGTTCCCAACTGACTCTGCCAGACGTCAGGAAACATACGTGGCCGTCCTTCAGTGGCCAGCACTAGCCGAGCACAAATGTCCCTGTGGTGTAATAAGGTATTTCCGTCTTTGTCCCTGGCTTCTGGGAGAAAGCCTCCAAGTCCTTGGAATTTCCGGGGTGCCGGGCCCCTGGGACCTTGCCTGCGTGTCTGCTGAGGAGGTGGCTCAGGCTGGGGGCTGGCCCTGCGGGACGGACCAAGCGTGGGGCCAGAGGGCCGGGCTTACACCCACGTGACTTGACACGAGACCCCCGTGGGTGGGGATGGAGGCTGGATTCGATTCATCGTGTCTGTGTTGCCAGCTCTGGACGCCAAGGCAGAGTCGAGCTCCCAAGCTGGGGACACTCAGCGACGTGCTGGAAGGGAGGTGCCCTGGGTGTGGGAGCCTTCCAGGCCCGCCCCTCCCCTCGGCTGGTCCTCACTGTGTCCCCTGTAATAACACTGCTCTCGTCACATAGCACGTCCCTGAGTTGCGGGAGCCCTTCGGGCAAATGACGGCACCTGCGGGGGTTGTGGGACCCCCCCCCCCACACGTGTAGCCAGATTGTCAGATGTGCAGGGGCCCCAGGGACGCCCAAGCACGGGGCTGGCGGCCGAAGTGAAGGGGTCCTCTGAGGACCCTCCCACCCCGTGTCCAAGCTAACCAGGCCGCACCTGTCGGTTCTCATCCCAGTTCTTCAGAGCACGGTCAGGGGAAGAGGGAAGGAGGTGTATTCCCATGTCTACACTTCCATTCAGTGGCTTCTTTTTTTTTTTTTTTTAAAGGCATATATCCTCTTATTTTATTGTAGTCCAAAAAGCTCATGGAGTTATTTTAGGGACACAGAGGACTTAATGGCACAGATTTAGGTAAAAAGCAAAATGCTCACCAGAAAAATAAAGTACTAGCCAGATACAAGGGAGATTTGACCCTAGCTGGCAAATGTTTAACTCTGCAAATACTTGGAGTCATTAATTATGTATATTTGTTTTATTCATAATCTGTAATGTTCTGGGATACCAAAAGTAACTCTAATGATGGTTGAATTTAACAAAAATTTTTTAACCTCATCTTTAAGCTTCCACTGATCCATCTCATTCAATGGCAATTTTCAATATTAATAGGAATATAAAAACAAACATGCACACAATTGCACTGTTTTCATAAAGGTCTATTTCATTATTGGTGGGTAGCGCATTTAACAGTTAAATACATTTAAATAATGTATAGGTGACTGCACGACTGCAGCATTGGTAACTAGAGATAACCGATTCAACTAGAAACCAGCTAACAAGTAACTGTCTAAATATTTAAAATACAGCTCTTGTTTAGATCATCCTTTGTTTTGATCACCTTCTTGGGGGGAGAAAAGCCTGCTGGTCACACTGGAAATATATTAAGGCCAAATCTTCTGATATCCGTTCCCAGAGGTTTCTTTCTTTCAGCTGGATTAAGCCTCCAACTCCAGGGCAAGCCCAAGTTTGTGGCCTCCAGCATTAATGCTTTTCCCATCTACCAGAGCAGACAGTGTAAGCTTGACACCAGGCCTCAGAGTCTGAGTATAGCCCACTCCAATTAAACTAGAGTTGTTGACTTTTGCACATTAGTGTGTAGCTGGAAGTCCCCAGTCCTGTAGCCCACTGCAAAGTTATTTCTTGTCAGCTTTGATTTGGCACTGTCAAAGGTCATCTGGTATCCAGCAAGCCAACCCTCATAACCGAAGACAGCTGAACCATGGATTGCAGGTCCAGCAAAGTCAAAGTCAACATCACAACCAAGGTTTATACACTCCCTCTTGTAAGAAGACTTGATTTTACCACTTTTCTTTCCCGTGTTTGGTGAAAAGGTAGTATCAAATGTCAGTTTCAAACCTTGACAAATCTGGTCTTCAATTGCAATTTCTGTTCCCAGAGTGTTATCAGTGTTCCATTTTTCTGTGAAAGTCAGACCATACTCACACCATTTATATTTGGTCTCCAAGGTTCCAGTAACTTTACCAGTGTCTGTGTTAGATGAACCAGATGTTGAAAATTCCACACCACTGCATGACTTTGTTTTCACATCCAGTTTCACCAACCCAAAACCAAATCCTTTGTTGAAAATATCTCTGGCAGCTTTGCCAAGGTCAGCATATGATGGAGGAATACACATTGGCCGCGCGCAGCTCTGTCCGTAGGTCGCCATGGCGAGATCACAGGAAGAGGCGATCTGGTGGTCTCCTGAGAGGGGCCGCTGCCGCCGCTCCGCTTGCAGCTAAGGCCGCTCGGCTCGCTCAGGGTCGCGCTGCAGCTACCGCGGCTGGAGGGCCCCATTCAGTGGCTTCTTAAACTGGCTGCCCCTCTGAGTCATCTGAGGGGCTCTAGAAACAAGAGCTGCCTGGGCCCCTCCCAGAGCATGTCTGATGGGTGAGCCTGCCGCAGGACCCGGATTGGGTGAGTCTACACCACAGGACCCAGATGGATGATTCTATGCCGCAGGGCCCGGGATAGACGATTCTACGCCACAGGGCCTGGATGGATGAGTCTATGCCACAGGTCCCGGGATGGACAATTCTATGCCACAGGGCCCAGATGGATGAGTCTACACCACAGGGCCTGGATGGATGAATCTACACCATAGGACCCAGGATGGATGAGTCTATGCCACAGTGCCCGGGATGGACGTGTTTACAAAAGCCGTGACGGGGGCTCCAAGGCAGGGCCATGTCTGAGAATCATTTCCCCATGAAGCCAAGTGCTTGTTCCAGGCAGAGGAAACCTGCTTGAAAGTGGGGAGGGGGCAGGAGGCCATTTGCCGACGTTCAGACAAGAGGGAACAGCGGGGTGGCGGGTGGAAGTTGAGTGCTGGGAGCAGGTCCCGTTGAGATCCGTCTCCAGAAAGGCGCAGTTTGAAGGCCACATGCCACCTGGAACGTGCTGGGATGTGGCCGCCACTTGAGAGACTTCTTGCCTCTAGAAAGCTCTCCCCTGGCTCCCAGGGCCTTGAGATACTCCGCAGGGCCGGGACGCGGGTGTTCTCCACTGGGACGCCCCCCCGAGCCCCGTCACCTCCCGCTAGGGTCACAGCGATTCACTCTCATCTCCCTGCTCCATCTCTTGCTGCCATGCAGCCTTCCCCCCTCCCAGCAGCCAGTGTGAGCCTTTAAAAAGTTAACCATGTCTTGTCTTTCTGTTGCTTCGAATCCTCCCACGGGCTCCCAGCGCACGGTGAAAAATAGGAGTCCCTGTGATTTGTCCCTGCCTGTCCCTGCGTCTCGCTTGGTCCACTCCTGTACCAGCCGGCAGCCACACTGGCTTGCTTGCTGCTCCTCACAGAGTTCCCAACTCTCCCGTACCACAGGGTCTTTGCATAAGCCGGTCCCACTAAGCACAACGCCTCACCCTCGGCCCCACCCTTGTTCCTTGAAATTCATGATCTCTCTCTAATTGTTAGCCTTCAAAACGGCCTTCTTTCAGCAAAATACATAGGTAAGTTGCCTCTATTATTGTCCAGGACACCACTCTATTCACGTCCCTCTTTTTTCTGTCCCTCTATTCACATCCCTCCAGGACGTTTTCCTGTCCCTCTTCCTCGCTGCTGACTGTTGCCTGGCACATAGGAGGGGCTCATTTTAGCTGCAGGGATTACTGCTGGCTACACCTGAGTTGACCCTAAAAACCTCAGCAGCTTATCTCAGAAAGGCTTATTTTTTTTTGATCATCAGACTCACCCCGGGGGGATGGGTGGGCACCTCTGCTCTGCACACTCCAGCTAAAAAGGGGCCTTGCCCCGTGCAGCCTACCCATCCGAACAGCATAGCCCGTAAGGCTTGCCAAAGAAGAGGAGTCACAAGAAAAATGAGGCGTGTGGTTTTTAACAGCCTGGAGCCCACCCGTGTTGCCTCTGTCCATGGTCCGTTTGCCCCAAGCAGTCACGTGGCTCCACCTCACTGCAGGAGGCCTGGCAGACGGAGGCACGTGGCGTGCGGTGTGAAAGCCAGTGAGGGGTGGCGGGGGGGGAGGCAGGGCAGACCTATAGGGCCCGGAGCCCAGAGTGGGAGGGGCCACACCCCCTAGAACCCCCCAGAAACAAGGTCTGTGGCTTCTGCTAGATTTTTCCTGTGTGTGAACTTCTAGACTAATGTCCCCGCTGAGCAGCAGGCAAGGACTCAGAACAAGTCCTCTGTGTCCTCTGTATTAGCGTTGGTCCGGGTGATGGAGTAGCCGTGTCGGCCGCTGGCAGCATGTATGTTAAGATGTGGACAGAGACTCAGTGGCTGTTACCAGGTCCCGCTTGCCTAACGCTCCAGGAAGCACCTTGGGAATAGGCCACTTTGGGAAATAAATGAGCCGGGGGACACAGGCGACCTCCAGATGCCTTCACGGGTGCTCCCGTTTCCCGGAGGGCCCCCACCCCCACCCCAGGGGCTCCCAGGAAATGGGTGGCAGAAATCAGCCTAGTGATTTACCTCCTGCCTTCTTGTGACTCCTGACCAGCCTGTGCATCTCATGTTTAATTATGAGGCCGTGGATGGCACGGATATTAATTATAGGGCTGAGGTTGTGTTACTGAGAGAAAGTGCACACACAGGTAGACTTTCCTCAAGAAGGAAAATTATATTTTTCTGGATCTCAAAAAGACTGCCCGAGAAACATGCAGAATCATACTCTAGGGTTTTAAACTAATGAGCTTGGGTTAAAAAAAAAAGTGAAAAACCTTTCTATGTGGAGAAGATGGGAAAATCCACTGGTAGACTCTGGAATTTCTCAGGAGCTGTGTTACCTGGCGGAGGCCTGGGGAGAGGCGGGCGGCTTCCACGAGGGGAGGGCTGTGCGGCACGCAGGACTGGGCAGAACTGGCTTTGCTCACGCTGCAAAACCAAGAATAGGTCACGGCGGCTTTCTATAAATGCGGAGCAAGAACATTTCTTGGCAAGATTGAGTCTTGGCTAAAAGCAGACACACACATTCTGAAGGGTGAGATGGGGAGAGTCTGACACACTTTGGTTTGGAAGGAAAAGCCAGATTAATGTTAGTAATAATAACACCGATAATACAATGACCTTCGCTAAGCCTGTGTTACAGGTGAGACCCTAGACTGAGGGTTGTGGGTGTGGGCTCCCCCCACTCAGTCCTGCAGGCCGCCACCCCCAGACGTGACCCCATCACACCGAGGAGGCTGATGACAAAGGTGGGGACGGGCCCGTGCTGGAGCTGCACCGCAGACGGTGCAGAATCTGTCGTTTGGATGTTCCTTTATGTCAGCGACGAAATCGGTGCTGCCGTTTTACCTCTTCTTGTGTGCTGAGCATTTGTGCGTGCGCACGTGTGTGCATGTGTGCTTATGCGTGCATGCACGGATGTGCCCAGGTGTGAGCACACACACATGTGGAAAGAAGATGACCTGGGCGAGCTTGCACGCTGTCAGCACAGAGCCCGATGCGGGGCTCGATCTCACAAACTGTGAGATCACCATGTGAGTCGAAATCAAGAATCAGATGTTTAACCAACTGAGCCACTCGGGTGCCTCCAAACAGTTTAAAAGCTTTAACAATGTTGGACGGTTGTGCATGTGGAGAGAGGTGCATGTGGATCCCCAGGGTGATGAGTTCTCAGGAGACAAACAGATGTGAGCCGTGCTCAGATAAAGAGCTAAGAGCCTTCATGGGGGCAGTCGCTGGGCGTCCCTCCCCGGTTCCACCCCTCACCAGAGCTGGCCACTTGCTGAGTCTTTTCCTACTTGCTGGGAGGAGGTGCCGTGTGCCACAATCATCAAAAAGGCAGACAAGTCAAGGGGGACAGTGTGCCCACCTTGGTGCCAGGCCCTTCCCGAGGACTTGCGTGGGCCTCTGCAGACAGCACGATGTGGTCTGCGCTGGGAACCCCCACTTTGCAGATGAGGGGAACGTGGGTCTGAAGTGGGATCCAAGCACCCATCCGTCCAGTTGTGAGTGTGAACCTGTCCACACTGTTCCTGACTTTCAGTTTTTCTTCCCGTTCCCTTTTTTTATTCCTTTCTTGCTGGGTCGAGAGAAGTTGAGACACTCTTTGGCTACAGACTACAGAATCAGGCCACTGGACAACTCTCCCAGTATTTGGTTACTTTGATTTTACCTTCCTAAGAATCACCGGGCCCCGCAAAGAAGCCAGCTCAAACGGTAAATTATTCAACAGAAGGACGGAGGTGCTCTGCTGTGCTGAAACTCAGGATTTGGGATAGACGACGGGAAATTATTAATAAAAGAAATTCCAACACTTTCCTCATCCTGTCGTGGGAAAGAGTCAGGGAATCGACTCTGAGTGAAGGCATCCAGTTTAAGCTGCTAATTACTTCTTAATCATGCAGAATAAAAGCTTCATCCCTTAAAATATACCAGGCAGCTAAACATAATCTTTGCTTTTCTCGGGCATCATTGAAAGAATCCAGATGTTACTGTAACAATCGCTCCACAAACAAACAGAATCCCCAGCTATAGGAAGTGACTCCCCAGCATCCGTGTGCCCCCAAAGGCTCTTCCTGGGCTGTGGTCCAGATCGCCACTCAGTGTCCCTCTGGGCAGCCCCGATGCAGACACACCCACAGCCCCGGAAGGGACATTCAGGACTTGCTGAATGTCCACACAGGAACTAAACCCAGGACCCACCTGAAGCCTTTGTCTGTGGACTTATCAGCAAATGAGGGGCAGCCCTGTGTCTCGGGGGACTGACTGTAGAGAGGATGTCTGGAGCAGATGGAAAGAAGTTAGACTCAAACCTGTTTGTTTATTTAAATGTTTTATTTATTTATTTTTAAGAGATAGTGTGAGCAGGGGAGGGACAGAGAGAGAAAGAGAGAGAGACAGAGAGAGTGAGAGAGAGAGAGAGAGAGAAAGAATCCCAAGTAGGCTCCTCACTTTCAGTGCAGAGCCAGATGCGGGGCTCAAACTCAAAACCACAAGACCATGACCTGAGCCAAAATCAAGAGTTGGAAGCTTAACTATCTGAGCCAATCAGGCACCGCTGACTCAAACACATTTAGATGCTACGATTTATTTTTGGTCCATCAATATCAGTAACGGCAAAAGGAGCCGGTGTTACTGGGGCTCAGAGCTGCTCCTGCACTGACCCCTCACAACTGCACGAGGCAACGCCTGTTACTGAGATTTGGAAGTGACGTCAATTCCTCTACTCTCTGAACACGTTTATGGTGAAGGTGGAATCAGAGTATAGAAAATCTGGTTCCACTGTTACTTTCCTCGTTCCCATTTGGTTTGAGCTGGCCTTTAATCTTCACAACAACTTCAGTTGAACTCACAGTTTTGTAAAATAAAGCTGGTTTCGGGA